TATAATGTTTAAACAAGTATCAATGATTTAATCATACAGTTGAAGGTACACAGATTTAAAATGTATAGGATGTTAAATAAATAAGTAGAGTCAAGTAGAGCAATGTTAAACAAATGAGGTAAATGTTTACCTCTTTAAATATTAAATAAATTTTTTTAATTAAAAAAACTAATCATAAATTGTATTTTTTTTTTGTACATTTTTATTTATTATAAAATAAATGTTATTAACCACAAACATAGTGGCTTTTAGCGACCAATATCAATACGACCAACTCCAATAATAATTGAGAAACGTTAGCAGTGTTAGAAAGACAATTTTTAAGGCAAATATAATGTTCAGAGAAGTATGAAGAAAAGTGTATGAAATAAAATCATACGCTGTGATAAAGAACTTTTTGTCGAAGTATCCATGATAGATATATATTAATTAATGGCAAAGAATAAGTTGGCTGGGAGTTAGGACTTTTTTGAGATCGAATACATAGCTATTGATGTTCTTGTGCATAAGTAAGAAGTTAAAACACCACTATGAAGACCGAGAAATATTATGGCTTTTGTATGGACTCTGAAGGAAGAAGTCTGATTGCAATTAACAAGTTTTATGGGTCATCCTTGAGTTTTCATGTAAACTATTAATAGGACCAAAGTAATAATATTCAGAAATGGTTTCATGGTCTAATTTTTATTATGTTCTTGCTCAACTTGAATGGTGGATAATATTTAACTCACTTCTGGTTGCTAGTAGGTTAACTGTTTTTTCGAGTTTATCGTCTTACAAGAGAAAAATTTAATGGAAGTCTTGATCTTCAAACAATAAATAATATAGTTTATAAAAAATGGCCAACGGGAATGATTAATTTAAATCACATTTACTTAATATTTCTAAATATGCTTTTCAAAATAATATTAGAGACAACAACAATTCTTAGTACCCTATTACTTTTTAATACCATCATTCTAAACGGATTTTCTTCTCTACGTTCTCATTTTAATTATACAGAGTGTATCTTAAGTACTTCAAACCGTGGTTTTATGGTGTACAAATTTATATATAACATAAATCGGCCTAATAAATTATCATTGGCCCTAAAGTAAAATAACACATAAACCATTTTTTACTTTGCGTCGAAACTAAAAATATTGTATTATACTTATTATACACTTTATTGTCCCTTATTATTTTGTTTGTCTTGTATAATAGAAAATTGTCAATTCAATATACCTAAGCAACGTATTATGGACAGTGTTTGCCTATTAATAATACCTCATAAGATATCATATGTATAGAAACCTTTATAATTATATTATACTACCATTGTAAATAACCGAGAAGTATAGGAATAATAACTAAATAGTATATACTTAGATCTGAGCTCACGGCAGTGCGCCAGGCCAAGTTCCAGCAATGCCAGTGTATTTGTACACGAACCAATTCACCCAGTTTATCTAACCCACTTATCTCTGTTTCCTCTTAAGATGAGCTTTTAAAATATGTAACATAGATTAAGCTTGAGTAGCTTAGGAAATTGTAAAAATTTGAGCCCTTAATAATAAGCTATTTCAAAATTTTCATTTTTGTTACTGACTCACTCATCATCAAAATTATAAAACACTTCCCGTATAGGTAGAAACGTCAAATTTGACACAAAGGCAGGTTTTATAGTTTAACTAAAGAGAAAAATCTGAACGTTGCAATTTTCTTAAAATTAATGCCGTTTTAGGGAGTGTATTACTAAATGCATGATGTGACGCGCATGAATATTGCTTGATTAGATTAGCCGGGTTTTTATTAATTAACCACAGATTCCAGAGTCGTCGAAACACACGTTCTCATTTAGTGTTACAATATGGTAATAAGCAATTGTTTATAATTGACAGTAAATTCTTATCAAACATTAGTTTTCGTAATTTTATTTCATTTATCGGTCATCAAATACAGAATATTTTAATAACCGTAATAATATCATTATTTAATTAAGTCTATATACTCTATACCCGTGTTATTTTTCGTCGGAGAATTCGTTCGTTCGTTTTAAGTATAAAAAAAATAGCAAGTGCCGCTTTTCTAAGAAAAATTGTGTTAAGCAAAATCTTCGAGGCGGCCGCGTGAATGAAACGGCTTTCTGTTACCAATTTTCAAAAATGATCCCACCAATGCTTTGTAAAAATTAACACGACGCCCACAACGCTGAAGCCAGCAAAAATGAATGATATCTTCAACAAAAACCTAACAGTGTTGCTCATGAAAGTAGGAGTGAAGTGAGGTTATCAACTAAAGAAATAGCAGACTTGGCCACATTATAGACATCACTACTTTGATAGGCTGACTATTTTGGGAAGTTATCTAGAACTTGGCCCTTTTTCACTGTTAGGTTTTTGTTGGAGATATTTATTTCTTAGATTAATCCGAGACACGCGTTCTTAAGAGCTCATCGAGTAGACAATCCTGAAAGGCTGTATTTAATATTCAATTATTACACAAGAGTACTCGAAATTAGAAGGTAGAGTTTTGTTCAAGTTAGCTATTCAATTGTATACATATATATACACATTATACACCGCATTATCTTGAGACCCAATATCAAATTCCTCTGAGCTCTTTCCAAGACACGTTTAAATAATTAAACACCAATGAATGGAAACCTCTTGTGTTGGATTAAATTTACATTTTCATTGAAACGTATTGTTAATTATTGATGATATTACCCTTTAATTAATTTAAAAGGTATAAACGGTACAAGAGTTAAGACGTTTTCTGAATAATATCTGAAAATAAATTTGAAAACCCACAATTGCAATCCTAATAAAATAAAAACAAGCTTATTAAATTTGTGTTATCATTCATGTGCCTAAAAATAAGTATACAAAATTGTAGGATAATAATATACTCTTGCTGGTAATACAATTATATTGGACGAATACAAATATTAAAACTTTTTTTCATTTTCCTTTGACTTCGTCAATAAAAGGATTACCGGAAAAGGGCTAGAAGAATAGTAACGTTATTCTTCGCCAGAAATTAAAGTCATGAACCTTTAATCAATAATCAACAAAGCGTAATGACTGTAATCCGTTAACACCAGCGTGCAATGATTACATTTCAGTTGTAAAATTCATCATTTTATAGATTTTCAGTAACAAGTTGGCCAGAGAAAATGTATTAAAAACTACTCTCAGGGAAATCTATTCGACGTTTACTATCATCTTGTTCTTTATTTTACTCGCTTTTAACGATACTTTTTATTTGAAATGTATTTCTTTTGTACCGCGTTTATCAAATTTCATGTTACAGACCAATCCTTGACAATATACTATGCACATTTTAACAATGTTATCCCTATTCCCTTCGCTGTACAATGTTCCATGTTTGGAACAAATCAAAATTTGGTGTTTTCCGGGAAACTAAAACTCAAATAATTTTTTTTTAAGTAGTATTATATACATTCAAAGCACATATTTTTTTCGAACAAAAAAAAAATTATGCAGTGAAGAGAGTAATTAATGAAAGAAAAACTAAAACTCCAAAGTCTTTATACAAATAATGGAAAAAAACTCCTTTGATTATATAATAAATTATTAAAAGTAGATAATTAAATTGAAACTAAAAAAAAGATGTCTTGTATTCAGTGTCAAAAAACACATTATTGTAAAACTAATTTTAAAAAAGCAAGTGAAAACTTCCTATTTTCTATACTTCTATTTTATTATGCAAGTATTAAATTAAGATGGAAATTAAAATCTATAATACTAATATTAATTTGAAATTTTAATACATTGAAATGTGTTTAACTGTTAAGTTAACTTTACAAATAACCAAATAATGTAATTTGGTTATTAAATAACCGACCTACGGTAATTTTAATGTTAAGGGAAATACATTGTTCTTAAAAAAAGACAATCCACGAGAAATTTAATATGAAAAAGTCCTTAAGTATACTAAAATGATTATTAATGATGAAAAAATCAGCTCTCTGCACAAGTCCATCAACTATTGGACCATTGAAACATATCTGATTTTTGAATCCATTTATTTAAAGTCTTTAATACAATTCACAGTAAAATATATAACAACATTAAGAGGTTGTTAATTTTCAAAGCTAATCTTTGTTAACACTTTTATTTTTTCCTAAACATAAAAAATAAATAACACAAACACTAGTAAGACTATGTTTTATATATTTTGTTGTGTGTAATCGGCAATTTTTATCCTCTTAAAAATACATTGTTATGGTAACACATGAAATTTAAAATTAATGCAACATGAAAAAACCTGTAATCTGATTTTCTCATAACTCCTTATACCTACATAGATGAAACGGTTTTCTTCTCCCCTCTTTAAAATAAAAACAAGTTAATCATAGCAGGCTCACTGCAATGAGTTTCTGTATAATAATTACAAATGTATTGTTCTATCGAAACAACGCGACCCATTCAGACACAATTCACAGTTCATCGTCAATTTTTAACTATAATATTTATGTATATATTTGTCTGCAGTTCAACGTTTACAATAATAACAAGAAGTTTGCAAAGTGAAGATTAAACAACATTCATCAAGAAAACAGACCTTTTTTGAAAAATAAAATCGAATAGAATGTAAAAAAAAAGTTATTTTTCAGAAACACGGTTCCAGAATATAATGCAAACAACAAACAGGCGACAGTATGGGCACAGTTACTGCGACAAATGAAGCATGATAACAGTTCATTCAAATGTTCAACAGGCAGTGCCATAAGTAAAATGTTATTGTATAATATTATAAAAGGTTTACGGACTGAGGTACTTTAAGGTCGGAAAACAGAAATTTTAATTTTTCAGATTTCATACCGCATTAGAAACATGTGCAATAAAAATATAGCTATGTTAGGCACGAAGACTTAAGTGTACCACAATTGCCTATTCGACGCGCCGTCTTATATTAATATTCAACCTAATACATTTTATGATTATACTATGGTTACAATATTGGCTTTATTTGGTTAAAAAAAGTGTACTTACGTCCCAAATTTTTTTGAAATCATTTTGGTGTATTCTCAGTAGTTCGCAAGTAGTTTTCGTGCATACCGTCATATCCCTTGGCATGTCGTGCACTATTGATTCGCCGAAAGTCGCACCGACGTCCAAAGTGACAACGGCCTGCGGGGGACAGGTGAATGATAATTAATTATAAAATAAAGTTGTAACAAAAACTAACAGTAATATTGCAGTAATAACTTAAACAACGTATATTAAAATTATTATTTCGACATTTTCTGCTTAAAATATTAATTATTCTTGAAACTTAATAAAACCCAATCGATTGTTTTTCATTATTACTCTCTTATTCTTTGTGTTTTATACTACTTATAACAATTTTATCATTAAAAATAACAAGCCACTTAACTTATTTAATAAATTAGTCGTTACAGATATTTTAGGTAGTAATTTGATATTTTAAAGTGTAGTACTCGAATCTCATTATTTTCAATATAATAATTAGATTTTGAAATATACGTTTTTATAAAATATTTAATATAATTATCCTAATGTTTTTTTTTTAATACTATTATATTATGAACCTTTGATAATCTAAATAGTGTAGGATGACAGAATATACCGTATAGAAATCATAATAATATATGCCAAGTGTCCAAAAATTATTAACGTTAAAAATAATTTATCACTCAAACGCAATACATAAACAATTATTAATAACGTTTTATTAATTAAACTGTATGAACCCTTTGCCAATGTTTTTATAATTAAGTTTAAACGCAGATTTCGTAGTTATAAAATTATTCAAATAGTAGCTTGTTAATGCTCATAGTTCTTTTGAATATAAATAAGGTACACCATAAGAATTGCGTTTATTCAATTTTTTAAAGTAACCGTTTCATTATTCTTTTTATAAAAAATAAGTACATACCACTCAGTTTTACAGTTATTAATGTGAAGGATGAAATAAATTATTATTACTAATGGCTGTCGTGAATGATTTATTTATTTTGAAACTCTGTTTAATCTATCTTATTTTAAACATTTTTAATAAATAATAATAAAAACGCTGGAATTTAGTAACTTTTGTTATCAGTAAAAAACGAATTATGAACTCTATCTTTATCTTTTAATAAACCCCAGATCTTCCACAAACTACCCTTCATGACCTATTTTATGTGATGATTTTACTCGACCATCAATAGTGACTTTGAATTTACACAAAACAGGGTTTCAACTTTCATTACTTATCACTACCGAAGTATCGCAAGAACCTTTTAAAAACGTTATAGGAAGTTACATATTTTTTAAAAGTAATTTATTTAAACTAAATTATAAAAAATAAATTAAGCATAATAAATTGGTTTTGGATTCCGGAATTTTGGATTTTAACAAACCCGAAATCCAAAAGCAATTTATCATTTTAGTGTTGTGTTTTATTTTTACTTTGTCATAAGAAATATTTAATGCTTATAAGATTTTTAAGTGGATTAAATAAGGTTTTTTTTTATGAAAATCTGGGAAATTCCCATCACTAATTTATACAAATGGTATATTGTAAATATTGCTGCTCCCGAAGAACAACTTCTTTAAAGCAATAGTTTTCAACAAATTTTTGGCATTAGGAAAAATTAATTTAATTATTTACAGCCGATAGTTTATATTGCATATAGGACATGTTTTTTAGATACTGAAAAACCAATGATATTAATTATAATTTATAGATGTACACATTTTGTGGTATAAAAACTTTATATTATACCTCAGTGTAGTAGTGTTGAGTATAGTGATAGTGCAATTATATACTCAATTACAAGCCTAGTAATGGTATACTGATTGTAATAAATTACAAAACATGGTCAAAGCTATTAAATTAATTGTATAGAACATTTTTAGAAAAAAACGATTAAATGTAATGCTTTCAGAGAACTTGTACCGAATCACAGGTCAAATTGCCACCCTTATACTACAGTCAGATCTAATACTTCATTTCAAACCATTTGCTGAACATGTTTTATCTCTAAAAAGTTATTTTTCATTAATTCACACGTTTTGAGTTTTCGAGCACGCTATAAATTATTGCATTTGACCAATCACTACTTTATTTCCATCTGTACCCGAAAGTTTTCTATCGCCGTTGTAATTTATTGAAGCATTTGCATAATTTACAGAACTCGAATCGGTGCTTAGCGTTTTCGTCTGATTTGCATCCCAGTGTATGCTTGCCGAGTGCTTAGGGATGGATAATGTAGGAAATGCATGGCATTTCCTATAGGGGCGTTTTTAAAACCGTTTATTTTTCGCGGCGAATATATATTTAAAATAATACTTGACGGGCTTAACAAATGAAATTGAAAAAAATCACTAGAGGCTTTCCGGTTTGTTATATACGCAGCTTTTTGGTTATTCGCAATGCCATTCTCTATTATAATAATAATAATAATAATAATATTATTTTAATCAAACCGCCACCGGCAGCAGACCCACGTGAATGTGGTCGACCTAATTTGACCTCCACGGGTTATCCCGCCCCACAAATAGGGGTGTGACGACGCATCGGACGAGTGTGTATTACTATATAATAATTATTTCTGTTACGATAATATTCAATGTTTCAAAAGCAACACAGTTCGTTTAATTGCACGAGCACACAACCACATCACCGCGGTAACCGCGTCCAATTTATTTTCATATATGGAACATCTACCCGGTTATAGGTTATACGCGCTGTGTCGACCTTATTCGCTGTTTTGTTCGGTCCGTCCGCGCCGGGATCTCGCTTTATCATCCGCTTTTAACTGCCAAAGTAGTAAAAAGGTCGGCCACGCAATAATATAACCTGCACTGTGACTACCGCACACCTATTATTCGTCATGTCGCTGTGCAAACGACCAATATACTCTATAACAATAACACTGGTATTGTGTATTATCATTGGTGTTGCGACGCTGGCTGCAGCCGTTTGTTGTTTGTGTTATGAGACAAACTTGAAGTCGTTATGAGATTTGCTCGGGGCACACATTAGTCTTGTGGTCGACATTTTGCCGCAATAAAATCCGCCTTGGCCTTATTCAACTCGGTCTTACAAAATAATACTCAACTTACGCGCATCGCCGAGTACGATTAAAAACTTTTAAATATTACCCCGGATGACTGACGCATACATATGTGTTTACTGAGGCAGATATTATGGCTTTTGCCGCTCAACCCCGCACAAGCAAGAAAAAATATGTATAATTATATGGCTGTACGCCAAGACTTGGAATTTACCATTATTGGTTTTCATTTTTTACTTAAAGTGGCTCATGCTTTGTGGAACTATATTATAAAAAGGGTCAAGGAAACGTAAAAAATTCGTTTTGAAGTCGAAACTCACTTGAGGCACTCGAAAGCAGTACGATTTTTTCATTAAAAACATGCCTTACGGAAAAATACTTGTGGAGTGATCGGATTTTCTGTGCACTGTATCACAATAGCGTTTAAGTTTTCTCTTTTTCTTTTCTTTTTTTACCTTTAGTTATAGTGGTTCTTGATGATTAAATAAAAAATCAAATGTTAATAGGATGTCTTCTTCATAAAAAAACAAATCATCAAAACCTGATCACCTTATCAGTAAGTCGTTCCTATTCCCGTAAAAATCATTTTTGACTACCACCAGTTTAACTCATAAACGCAACACAGGTAGATTATACAAATTTACCTTGAAGCTAATATAAATTGATATAAATTGACATGACCAAAGTTTATTTTCGTTAGTAATATACGATACTTGTTTTGCATTATATTCTCATAATTTGGCCAATAGAAACGGCTACACATTTAATCATAACTTGATATCGTAGCACGATTTTTGACCATTGTGTCTGCAGGCCTATGAAAATATTTCTCTCATAATTTGACGGATTCCCTCGTATTTACAAACTATTCATCAAACTCGCATGCCCTTTTGCATTATTTTGACATACAGAAAATTCATCGATTTTTCCTCTAGCCTAACCCAACCCGTCAAGTTTGTCTCGACCCCTCTATGTGACACATAGCGATTATAACTGAGCTTAATATATAATATTAGTATTGTTTCAATACGTGTAAATCAACGATACCACTTCGTACTCACCTTAACTTTTGGAATATATGCTTGACTTTAAAATGTTCGTCTAAATTTTGTTTTATTTATAAATATAATATAATATGAAAACTTAACTTCTAAAGATTCATATTATTAAAAACCCTATCTACTATAAAAATTTCTTTTTTAAAAGTAAATTTTTATTGTAAATAGAGTTTTTCAAAAATTTAATATATTTCCAACTTAAATTTTATTTCTAAACATGAATTTTAGTAATTTATTATTGAAGTATAAAAATATTTAGCTTTTCTTAATATCTTTACACATTTAAATAAATCTGTATAAATGTAGAATTTTTGCCATTATAAACCGTTTATTACAAAATAAGTGTCTCAATTTGTATATATGGTCTTATGAAAAATATTGAATTTATAAACTCATAAATGCTGTTCCATAACAATTTTAATATTAGAATATTTTCATAATATTATTATGTCAGTGATTTGATTTGCGTTTAAACAAACATTGTTAAACATTTATTATACATTTATTGAGTACCAAAACTTAAGAAAACTAATCGTACTTTAATTACCATAACCTTAAAAATTATGTATTTAAATTCAGATAACAAATTCCTAGTATTCTTGTCATATAGTACTTGAACTTAATTGTGGCTTAAAAAAAATGACAGCTTCTAAGTAAATTTTAATCTCATAACATCATATATTTTTTTAAGGTATTCCACAGATGTTTTAAACCAACATTTTTTATTCATAAATGATATGCTTAATACGTTTATTGTACAGTAAAAAACAACCAACCGTCGTCACTTTTTTTTTAAAAGTTACGACAGCACTGTATCTATACATATTATTTATTTACAGTTGTATATGACCATAATTTATGTGCATATTTTTACATTAAGTTTCTAAAAGCAAAAGCTTGTAAACAAAATATCTTTGGAAACGTTAATTTCCGAGGTGCCTTCTGAGAATTATACTTGCATTTATTATAAATTTGTATATGTGTACATTGTGTGCATATATAATAGCTGTAAGTTGCTACTGAGTTGGTATAAATTGTTTTTAAATTT